GACTAAAGATTTCCTTTTCATCACAGAGAAGTTATCTATTAGGATGTGGGAAAAAGAAGGCTTGTCAGAAAAGGATCCGTAGACCTGGAACAGATTTGCTACCAATAGAGGCTGGGAGAAAAATAATGTTTTTTCTTTCATGCTCCTTCACTGCTTTTGCAGGGAAACCGGTTCATCTCGTGTAATGAGATTTGTTAGATGGTAATTGGCTTGGAAAGCATCTCACAGCCAACCTTTACGTGCTTTCAAGTTTCGTGCAAAATAAGATTCCGTATTACCATGTAAATGTGAACCAAAACTTGTGTCAGTTTCTTCCTGACATTTCTGTGACATGTGACTGTTATTTCACGTGATGGATCTTGGTTTTTTTTCCTTTTCTAGATTTTGAGAAGCATGCTCTACAGAGGTTCTGAGGTTATGCGAGAAGTTGCATGGGTTATTTTTGATGAAATCCACTACATGAGAGATTCAGGTATCCTATATGTACAATTTTTCTTTTCAGATCTTTTTTTTTTCCCAATAACATTTTTTTTTTCTTTTGAAGAGTTGAACCTTTATTCCGTCTCCTAAAATCTTTGTTGTGGTGGTTTCACTTGGCTAGCAGCCGAACACAGCCGCTTGCTTACTCTCCCCCACCCTAGGGTCTAGCGGGAAGAATTGGAGGGGTAAGGGTAAGGAGACTTATAGATTGAGTTGAGAACAATTTAATAATTGAAATAAAATAAACCAAAACAAATAATAATAATATATACAACTGAGTGATACACAGTGCAATTGCTCACCGCCTGCCAGCCAAGCCCGGCCTTTTCTCAGATAACAAACCCAGAGGAGCAACAGTCCCAAAAACCGCAGTCCCAAAAGAGGAGCGAGAGCCTGAGGGAGAGCCCTCACAGGAGAGAGACCCTCATTAATATACTGAACATGATGTTACATGGCATGGAATATCCCATTAGCATATCCTAATGCCAGTTTGGCTTACTGATTTTAATATTCTTAGACCTTGCATCTGTAGACTCACAAAACACAAAGTCCTCGACTTCCAGTGGCAAGTGAAAACATAAGTATCTTATCAGGGTTCTTCTCATACCAAATCCCATACTGAAACCAAAACACAGCACTATTCTGGCTGCTAAAAAGAAAACTAGTTCTAACCCAGATGAAAACCAGGACATTTGTGCATAAATGATTCAGAATTGTTTTCTATTGAATGTATATGAGAGTTATTGTGTGTCACACTCTGCATTTTCTTTGCCAAGGCAAAAGCCACTTTGAGGGCATTTGATGTACCCCACTTGTGTAGAGGAGGCTTTTTTAACTTTTTGTTTTATTTTGTCTTTAAACATGCTGTTCTTTGGCTTCAGAGCTGAAAAATAGGTTTTTATCACATAAATTTTCCAATTTTCAGAACGTGGTGTGGTTTGGGAAGAGACAATTATTTTGCTCCCTGACAATGTTCATTATGTGTTCCTTTCTGCAACTATTCCAAACGCCCGTCAGTTTGCTGAGTGGATCTGCCACCTTCACAAACAGGTAATGTTTCTGATGTGCTAAACCCCCATCCTTGTTGTCTTGTGGCATAGTACTGTCTCTTTGGTTGATGAGAACTGAACCTTTGAGTGTCTTTTTAGTCATCTTCTTATTGCTTATAAATGATGAGATACATCAGTCCTGGCTTCTCTGGTTGTACTGGCTTTTGCAGCTGTACTGGCTGTTGGTTCTACATAGTAACATTAAAGCTGTTTCTTTTAAAGTTTATTTTCCACACCTATTTAGACACCAGCTTGATTTCAACAAATATTCTGAATTATGAAATATGATGAATGCGCTGTGATTTCCAGAGGGCTGATAGAGAAGAGGTTACTTGGAGAATTTGTTTGAAGTACTCTATAAAAAGGCCGTGTGGGACTCAAAAGTAAATCATAAATCCATAGGAAATACTCTGTATGCATGCAAACAAAGTGAGAAAAGAGGAGTATAGGAAACCTATCCTGTCCTTTAACCATTAGGCTTATTTTACTGGGTTTTTTTTTAAAAAGAGATGCTTTTGCAGCAAATAATATGGGAATTAGGGAAGATAATATCCGCAAGAGGTTGGTCCGATTTTGAAAATATGCCAAAGATTGATTTTTAGGCTGTTGAGGATGAAAGGTGTGTAGTAAAGAGGTGTCTGATTAAGCTTGGCACAAAACCTTGACTGTGTGTTGCAGAACTGTGGGTTTTTTTAAAGCTGATTTACATAAAATGTAATGCTTTAAAGGAATAGTTTTATTTATTATTTTTTCTAAATACACTTTCTCTGTGCAGTAAAACCTTAAATGTCTACAATGTACCTTTTTTTGGTGATGTAAGAAATACTGCAGGCTTTTTTACAAAATAGAAATTAACGCTTTTTCCTTTGATTGTAAAAGACGCTAGGATTTTGAGTCTGTGTAATAATACAGAAGGAAATACTACCTGTCCTTTTTGTGTTCATGAGAAAGAATTTTTGTCGATAACTGGTGTTCTTCTGAAGGATTTGCAGACTGACTTTTTTTTAAGCAAAGTCATTAGTACAAAATCCATATTCAGGAAAGAAAATTTGTTATCTTGGTTTCTGTGAGTCTTATTTTCTCACTTTCAGATGTATTTTAATAGTAGTGTATTGGATTTTTCATCAAGTGTTTTTACAATGCAGTTAGAAACGTTAAATAGTTATGTATATACTGTTTTTTTTTTTTCTAGCCTTGCCATGTGATTTACACAGACTATCGACCCACTCCACTGCAGCATTATATATTCCCAGCGGGAGGAGATGGACTCCATCTGGTTGTTGATGAAAATGTAAGGAAAATTCAGTTTGTTTGAAATACCTTTTTCCTCACGTATCAGTCATGAGCTTGATCTCCTGCAAACTTTGAGTTGGCTATGCAAAGGATTTTTGTGTTAAAATGTTAAGTACAAACGGGTAACAGTGATCTCTGAATTGCTTTTATATTTTTGGAGTCTTATAGAAGAGATTGGTTTTATTATTTAATGTCACGTGGTCAGCTGAGTGATACTTTGCTGAGATGTCTTAAGTGCCCTCATCCTTGCTTTGTTTTCTAAAGTGCATGCTGCTTTCTGTAGATCTGCAAAGTCGCTGATGTTTCTTGTACTGTTTCTCACTCAAAAGAAGATGTTGTAGCATTTAAATTTTGCCTTGGTTTAGGGGGCAAAATATTTTTGTGTCTTTAGGTGATTTTTGAAGTAACAACTTGTTTAGAATTCATAATTGGCTGGCACAGCAGTAGCTAACGTCATAAACAGTAGTACTGCACTTGAAGCTAGGTCTTCAATGGGCAGTGTAGTTTCACATAGACATTCCTAGAAGTCAGTTTGGGTATTGTGTCATTCAGCAAGTCTAGCATGGTTGATGGTGTGATGGATAGAACAACAAGAAATAACTTAAGAGACACTAATGTAATTCTGAGCTGTGCCACGAACCTAGTGCAGTTGCTAGCTTATGTGTTGTTTTTGTCCTTCTGCCTGTAAATATGGGGTAATGGTACTGGCTATGCAAAGCAAAAAGTATTTTTAAGTGAGCTGTGTAAGAAGTAATTGCTTACAAAGATGGTGGTTTATTTCTAGGGAGATTTCAGAGAAGATAATTTTAATACAGCAATGCAAGTGCTTAGAGATGCAGGAGACTTAGCAAAAGGAGACCCGAAAGGGAGAAAAGGAGGAACAAAAGGTGAGTTTGAGTCCCATTTTAAAGCAACATTTTGTATAATACAACAAAGTTTATGTAAGTTGTGCTCGTGTCTTGATTATTCCATAAGATACTTTTTTGCTAAAATTACATTTAAATTAATGTAATCTCTCTACAGGTCCTTCAAATGTTTTTAAGATTGTGAAGATGATCATGGAAAGGAATTTCCAACCTGTTATTATTTTCAGCTTCAGTAAGAAAGACTGCGAAGCCTATGCACTTCAGATGACAAAGTTAGATTTCAATACAGGTACAGATAAATAAAATATAGTTTTATCACAATTGTGGTTTGCTGTGAAATGTTACTCTGATTAGATATTTCTATTTACTTTGGGACTTTTTGAGTAAAAACAATTGAAAAACACATATTGCTTTTTCATTTACTGTGATGGTACGTCAGGCTACGTTCAGTAGGAAACTGTTGGTTCACAAAGAGTGCTTGGTCATCACAGTGTTGAATTATTCCTCTATTTTAAAGTTAATTTCTTTCTCCAAAATCCTGTTCACTGTAATTAGGGCACAGGAATTCCTAGAAAATTCTGTCTGTTATGGGCGAGGACTGATCATAACAAATGTATTTCCCAAAATTTTAATGTTATGTCCATTGGAAAAATGAATATTCTCTCTAAGTCAAAACAGCTGTGTAACAAACCACTAGATTGTTCTTTCTCAACTACTCAGTCCTGTTTTCCTTCCCTCCTTCCCTCCTTCCTTCCTTCCTTCCTTCCTTCCTTCCTTCCTTCCTTCCTTCCTCCCTCCCTCCCTCCCTCCCTCCCTCCCAAGACGCAAGCTTGGAAAATAAGTTTAAGTTCATCACTTCTTGGAAATTTAATAAGTCATAATAAAAATAAGGAATTTGTTGTAAATCAGCGTATAATTTCATATTTATGAACTGTTCAAGGTTCTTGCTTACTTGGTCCAATCTTTGTATGTTCTGGTTCAGTGTTGCAAAATAATGCATGCAGCTGTTTCTGTCAGAAAATGTAAAGATATGCACAAGTGCAGAGATGTGTTTTTGTGTTTTCTCCAGTCATACCTTTGAACATATTCATACTCCTTAAGTAGAAAGGGTGTGAACTTTGAGAATCAATGGGGAAGAGACTACGTCCATACAGAAAGGGACTAGTAGGTAGAAGAGAAACAGGGAGAGGTTTGTTAGATAGACAGAAATGGCATAAAACTGAGAAATCCCAAGCTTGGAAACAGCTAAAGTTTGGATTATTCTGCCAGGTTTGTTCTGTTTTCCTTTTTCCTGTGCATTTACTTCTGGTTACTATTCTGCTCCTTCCGGCTCAGATTCAAGTCTTGGATCATCTGGCCCAATGCGTGTGGTTTTGTGTAGACTTCAGTCTTCCACAGTATTTGTATCATAAACTTTTGTAAATATTAGAATGCTGTAATGCTTTATTTACATATGGTATTAGCCTTCTAGATTTTGTAATAACTTAAAAATTGCCTTGTTAGATGAAGAAAAAAAGATGGTTGAAGAAGTGTTCAATAATGCAATTGATTGTCTGTCAGATGAAGACAAAAAGCTTCCTCAGGTGAGTGGAGATTGAATAGGGGGAGTTGCTGCTCTCCTGTTTTCTGCAACTTTTGAGGCCATGGGCCTTTTGTAGTGGGTACAGAAATAATAAAATTTATATTCACATTCATCTCCCCAGGTTTTAAGCTCTCTTGCATTGCTCTTTGGCATTGTGAAATAGGACTCAGTGATTAGGGTTCCTTCCAGTGATTCCAGCAAACAACATAAGCCAAAATTAACCATGGAGGTCCTACCCTGCATTTTATTTTTTTCTAAGTATGTTTTTAGGTAAACAGAAGGGCTTATAAAGATTTATAGCTGGGTTAAAACTGTCTGGAAATAGTTCAAATGAGAGTGTGGAGTGCGCTTTATCAGGTATTGGCTGCTGAGCCTATCAAAAAGTTGAACTGATGCATCTGTATTCTAATTTATTGTGTACTGACTAAGCATAGTTACTGTCCTTACAGTGGAAAAATACAGGCTTCTAAATGGACAGAATATTACACGATTCAGTACTTTTGTAAAAAATACTAAAACTTATTTCTGCCCCCCTTCTTTATTTATCTGTGTCCATAATTTCTTAATGTAGTGATGTTTATTGTAAGCATGACAATTTCTCCTTGAAAAAAACCATTTAGTTTTTGGCCGTGCCTACTTGCTTTGAATTCAACACACCTGTTTTGTTTGTGAACTGGAGAAAAATGGAAAATAGGAATCCAATATATGAGGTGTTATTTGCTGGGTTTTTTTGCTAAGTTTGTAACAGTGGCATTATATCCAAGTCATCTTTTTGGTCTCTGTGGACAGTGTTATCTCAAAAGTGTATTATCAGAATTAGGTTTGGGCTGGTGACCAAGTGTTAACAGATTGTTAATGAGAATCTTTGTTTTCAAAGAAAAAAAACAGAGACAAAACTAGGTTTATGCAGGTATTTGTTTGAAGTAGAATGTTTTTAGAATTTTAAGAGATTAATTCAGTCATTTACTGCTTGAATTTCCTTATTTCACTCTCACAGGTGCTGACTTCACTGTTTTACATCACATATCAATAATGAAAATCACTGCAACTAAAATGGAAACAAAATATGTCATGCATACCAGGATCACTGTTTCCAAAAATAGTTTTAAATCATGCATAATTTTTTATAGAAGCAAATTTAAATACTAACTGCATGCATAAATTACAGCATAGCTTCACAGTTGGTCTAATGCAATTTAAGACTAATCTGCTACTGAAAAGGTTGGCCCCTGGCTTTACCTTTCATATCATTCCTAGTTCTAACTGGAAAATAATACTGAAGGAGTATTTATTGTTTTTAAAATCAGGAAATAGTGAATTATTGGAACACTCAGAGCAGTGTTGAGGTTTTCTGTACAGGTTTTATTTTCTAGTAATGAATATTAAGGTTTGTTTACTGGTCTTTATGTGTTTCTTCCCAGGTTGAGCATGTTCTTCCTCTTCTGAAACGAGGAATTGGTATCCATCATGGTGGTCTGCTTCCTATCTTAAAAGAAACCATAGAAATTCTTTTCTCTGAGGGCCTAATAAAGGTATATATTTCATGTCCATATTTATTTTTTTCTTTGTTGTGAATACACAGTTAGTCCTGAAAAACTGACAATTCTGTCTTAGCTCAGAATGTACGCTAGTGTTACAGTGGAGATGTGCTCCTTGACTGAAAAAGGGGAAAGGCTCATTGCACATACCAAGCTGAAAAATGCTTTGTGTTTTGAATGTGCTTCTGTGCAGGAAGCATAAGGCTTAGTACTTACCAAAAACTGTTCTTTAACATTGTGTGGACCATTAAGTAGGCAGTTTTATAAAGAGCTACACACATATGAAGGGAAAAGCTCTTTTCTGTGGATCTACATACTGGGTTCTACAAATGCACACAGCACCTCTGGAAGCCTGTAGCTGTTCCAGTGGCTCAGGTTAATTGGTGTGATTGGTTGCAGCTCCCTTTCCTTGAGAAACCTGAAAAAACAATTCTTTTGCCTTAGATGTCTTATGTTAGTCCACAAGTACAGCTCTAGTTTTAAGTGTTTCAGGTTTTATTCTGAAATTCTTAATCTTACAGTGTCTAAGTTTAACATTTTCTTCAATTGTTATATGATATATTTTACTCCTATAAATGACTGTAAACATTTACCAAGCTGTTTGTTGGTTGCCTTAAGTGACATACATTCAGAAAGATCTAACCTTACGTGAAAGTTGTGGGGGTTTTTTTGGGTAACTAACTTATTGCAAACTTTGAATATGGAAATTAACTATTATTTTTCATCAGTATAATTTGCACCCCCTTGTATTTTCTTTCTGAGCCCTTCATGTAGTCCCTTCTTTCATGTTTTCAACTTTTCATGTTTTCCCAAAGGAAGTAAGGGAAGGATGAAAGAATGGTTTTTGTCCAGTTTTTAAATACTCAGTGTGCTTATGTTCCTATGTTGACAGCACATAAGTAGTAAAATCTGGAGAGGTCTTGTGTAGCAATCTCTGACTGTTTGCATTTTTGCTGAAGGGCCTTTGTTTTTGTTTGCTTAACTTTTGTGTGTTTATCTAGGCCTTATTTGCAACAGAGACTTTTGCTATGGGAATTAATATGCCAGCCAGGACTGTGCTATTTACAAGTGCCAGCAAATTTGATGGAAAAGATTTCCGATGGGTGAGTGGAAAACAGGTCCTGTAGAATGACTGAATTGCAATATTTAAACCTTATTAGGATTAAATTTTCTCTTGACATATCCACTTCAATGTAGTAGAAAATACTTTTTTCTTTCAGAAATCTTTCTTCATTCACTAATGCATTTATAGGTGTACAAATTCCTGAAGACAAGATTCCTCAGATTATGCATGACATTATTTATTTTAATAGATAAAGCAAAAGGGCATCCCAGGTTAATGGCAGGCGTTGGATTAGACTAAGACTTCTGCACAACTTGTCCAAAACTCTGAGACTCAGGTATTTAATACTGTGTCACAAAAATGTGGAGAATAAGTGGGCGGTCACTAAATTTAGGTTTTGACAGAACAAAGAGAAGAGATAATTTACCTCAGGAGGGTATTGATTGTTTTGTTATAGCAGAGTATTTTGGGTAGCCCACAGAAAGACAGAAATGTGCGAAAGGAGAGACAGGTTCTTAAACAGCTGAAAAACAAATAATTTCAAAGTTTTAAACATTAGAACCAGGTATGTGATTCACATGTAAATAATAATAAGGGTGTACAAGTCATCACAGCAAAGCTTCATAAGTAAATGTCACAGTTCATCTTTCAGAGATGGGAATATTGCAGTAAAGAGGACAAGTGACTTGACATGTGCATTATGAAGTAAACATCTCTTCAATCTTAGTTTGGGCTGCTGGGTTTCATGATTCATTCAGTCTGATTTCACGTCCTCAAGATACATGTGAGAATTAGCTACCTTTGAGGTATTAGATAATGTGTAACTCCTGCTTCTAAAATGATTTAGCATGGTTTCCATAAGTCGTTATTGAGATCTGACTTAAAAGTGAAAGTTGTTGGGAATGCAGATTCCACAGATGAAAAAAAAAAAAGTTTTATAATTTACTGAGCCATAGGGAACCAGTTATAGTTGGCTCTTGTCCATGCCCCAGTTTTTTATAGCCTCTTCAGTTCCATGATTAGTAAACATAGAAATACTGCTCTTGCTAGTTATCAGTATTTTAATGTTACATTTGAATGAAGTGATACATCATTTGAAGATGGTGAAGATACATTATCAGTATGTTGAAGATGTGTCATATTTTAATGATCTCCTCTGTGCCCAGCAACCTTCCTTCACGTATGACGTAGTAAAATGGTTTTTTGTGCTTATTATAGTGAAGCAGCATGTTAGGGAAATCACTGTAGCTATGAGAACATTAGTTAACTTACACTGCTGACATACATTATTCATATTCATGGATTTATATCTTAGTAGCTTAGTGATCAGTTATGAGTAATTAATTTAACCTGTGGAAAGTTAGTGTCTTAGATAACTCTCTTTTGCTAATTTTTATGCATCATGGTAATTTACTGTGTACTTGAAAATAGCATTTTGTATGTTCTTTCTATTTTTCCAATGTTTGCTATTTTATTCTTTTTCTCATTTTATCCTAGATATCCTCAGGTGAATACATTCAAATGTCAGGTCGTGCAGGACGCCGAGGTATGGATGACAGAGGAATAGTAATTCTTATGGTGGATGAAAAAATGAGTCCAACAATTGGCAAGCAGCTTTTGAAGGTAGGAGAAAAGCTAACTCTTCTTCTTTTTCGTCGTCCCCACTAAGGTTATTCTCATTTGAATAACGAAACATATAAAATTTTACACCCAGAACAAGAAGTGTCTAGATCATGCAGGTAGCAGATGACAATTCCTGAAAAGAGTATGAGCTTTCACTGAACTCTCACTAAAGTAGGAGTTTCTATTGTGAAACAAAATTAGAAGAGTAGTATTATCCTCCTCTGTATAAAAGGGATCTCAGGCAGGAGAAGTAGAACTATATCCTGTTTTCTGGTGATATCACTACTACTGCAGCATTCCATTTGTTTCTTGCTGACCACAGCCAGTTCCAGGATATTGCCGAAAACGTTTACTGAGCTTTCACAAGAATTCTTAAAGACCTGGTTTGGTGATGAAATAAAACTTTGTTAATGGACTTTTCAGCATAATAGGCAAACTGGACAAAGTTGTGCAAAAAAATGGGGCATGTGATAAATATGAAGAGTAAGATGGCTGTCAGTGAGCTAAAATTAACTATGGAGAAATTGATAGTGCTTGTAGGAAACTTTGAGATTTGGAAATCAAGAGGTTGAAAAAAACACTCTTGTGGTTGAGATGGGCATTAGATTATAGGGCCTCCCCAAATTGTTGTGGAAGTTGCTACGGATTATTATAATAGTACCCTCTTGCTTTTATAATTTGAATGTGAAACATTGCACTCATTACACTTCTATTTAAATTCCATGGCAAAAATCAACATACTATTCTGTAGTGTGTGTTGCCTTTCTTAGGCTGCTTATGTTAATTGTGCACACATGTTAAAACTGAAAAGTCTGTGGGTTAACTCTGCATGCTGTTCAGGAGCTTGTAGCCTTGGTGCAAATAGCAGGTCATTTGTGTTCAGATGGCACTTACAGTATTATTACAGTTTGTATGCATTGTGGGAATCATCTTAAGTCATCATCAGGGTATGTTAATGAAAAACATACATTTGTTGAAAAAAAAAACCCCATATGCCAGTATTTATTTTATGTAGGCTAATTAAGAACAAGGGGAAAAGTACATACGTGGATGCTGTTAGTTATGCAGATACAGATTCCTTGTTGTCTATCTTGCTCTGTCAGCGCTACCTGTTAATTTATAATAAAGGTATACATCAGACTGCTGTTACACACAAGTAGTGTTTAACTTCTTAAAGTCAGAATTTTAATAAATCCTACATTATGACTAACTAACCAGAAATTAGTAAAATAAGAAATTTCAAAAATATTTAAACTCATTCATGTATGGTAGCATCAGGCTTTGAATTTATTTCTTAGTCTTGGTTCAATTTTCATTTTCTTGGAGAAGTGGCCATATGTTTATTTGTTTACATGCACACTTAGCACATATATGAGGTGTATGAAGACTAAGTATTTTCAGTCTCTGAGGTGTATGAAGACTAAGTATTTTAACTGTATTTTTATGAGTTTTTAAGGCTATCATCTAGAAATAGATGTAGTTTTTTGGCATACTTAAAGGCTTTATACCTTTGTACCTCCATGGCTGAAAAATTAAACAGCAGGAGATACAAAATGAGAGAAGAAGAAAAAAAATTTCTTAGAAATAGAATTAATTTTGTGTGCTTGTAATCCATAGTTCATAAAGATTATCCCACAAAATTTAATTTATATGAAATAATTGTAAATAACTTACGAAAAACTGATATTTCAATTATTTATCTTCAGACTTGATGAGATTATAAGCTCAGCCATTCAGAAGGTGTTTTTTTAAGTTTGTAAGTTCAGTAGTTTGAGAACTATAGAACTCAATCTGCATGAATTAAGACAAAAAAAGGAAATAGTAGATCACTTACATTTTTTTGGTACTATGTCTTCTTTTGTCTAGGTTTTAAGGAAATAATAAAGAATGTTTCCTTTATTGAAACTGTAAGCCCTTTGATTTTTTTTTTCCCCTTCTGAATTATAAGGAAACAAAGAGGAAAAATAATGACACCTTTTTTGCTTTCTATATTATCTCTTGGTTCTTCTCCACTGAGCTAAATAAATTTGTGTATTTCATTAGTTTTTTCACTACTTCACTAGTGAGCAAGGGCTGAATTTAAGATTTCTTTGAAAAAGATCAGAAGTGGCTATAATGCAGGTATGGATGCTTCTGGAGCCTCTGTAACTATGCAGCCACTTGCTGAAAAGGCAGTAAAAGTAATCTTTTATGAGATGAGCAGTACAACATTAAAAAATACTTATTTTCCTTTTTAGATATGAAACACTTAGCGGAAATTTCATGTCAAAAAAGGCCTAGAATGTATACAGACTAACATTTCTTCAGCATTCACATTCTGTATTCATCGTTAAGCATGTCTGAATTGGGTTTTACTTGCTGACAGTGTTTATCTGTAGTAAGATCACGATCATGTCTTGTAGTAGTATTTTGCTGCCACATCACGTATTGTGGCTTTGCTCCAGGATAAGCTAAAGATTTATAGGGAAAACTGAAGAATAAATATATTAGCCATATTGAGAATGAGAGGACATTTACATAGGACATTTTTATCATAGCTCTTCAACCCTAATGCATGTCTGATCCAAACCATTTCCTGAATACTAGAGCAAAACGCCTAGGAATGATGTTATCAGCTGCCTGCCTGGCGCTGCGATCCGTGAAGTGAGAGCTTTGAGTACGTTTCAGTACCAGCAGTATTGCTGCAGCTGGGCTCTTTGGCTGTGGCACTGTTCATTGCCATATTGTCTACACTACTTCAGACTTAAATTGAAAGTTCAAATCTTAGATAGGAGTTCTTAGGAATATTTGTAAATATTTCTTAGGGATATTTGTAAATATTTCTTAAACCCAGGAACATACATTTACCTTCTGCAGTGTAACTAGGTTTTTTTGTTTATCCTTAGCATTTATTTAAGCACTGAGTATTTAGTAAACTGGTGACTCACACAAATCTACAAAACTAATTGCTTACAATACTGTTGCATAGCTTTCTGAAGACAGTCAAATACAGTTTTATATTTGCATAAAACTAAGAAATATTTGATGGGATTTTTTTGTTTGTTTGTTTCCTTAATTAAAATCTTTAGTTACACTGTTTTGGTTTAGGTAGGAAGTGGAAGGCCTCTATTTGACGCTAGATGGCCTTTGAAACTGGAGCAGAATGTCCCTAGTTGGAATTTGGCCATGTTACAAGCATGTGTTCCTACAGAGACAATTGAGTTACTGACCAGCAGTAATCTGTTATGTCTCCAGAATACAAAAATCTTAACCTAATTATGTTATGGAAATGAATGATTGTATAATGAAAGAACATGTGCTAATGTAAGTAGGTTTTTGAGCCTTGAATTTGAGTGTCTCAGTTCTTTGCATCTTCTTATTCCTTCACAGGAGAAGTTAGATGGACTGAAAAATTGAAAGAAAACATTAATCTAGCCAGAAAAAATATACAGTATTATGCTTTCCTTGTCATTTGCGTATGGAACATAAAGTGCCCCAATGCCAAGCTGTAGGAGATATTCCACTAGCTACATCTGGCTCCTGGCAGGGCCTTCCTTTGAGAGTTGGCAGTACTGTGCTCATTTGGCTTGTATGCTGCTATTAGAAATCCATCTGGTCTTTCTGTATTTTATTTTGACTCTTAGGTTGTTATTGTACTAGGCAAATGAACAGGATAGCAATTCAGACAGTTTAATACTTTTCTCTTTAACTTCCTGGCTATTTGCACAGCTCTCTCATGCGACCACTGTGCAGTTGTTGGAAAGTTCCTTCGTTTTGAAGGGGCACATCGTCATTCCCATATAACTGAGGCAGCATCATGCGGTATTTTTTGTTTTAATTGTCTGCCGTGTGTCACGTATGGCTGTTCCTTTCAGAGTCTCGAGTAGAAAGAAAAGTCTGTTTAGTGTGAAAAGCAATATTTAAATAAAAATAAATAAATTATAAAAATAAATAAATTATGGTAATTAGTTATAAATGTAAGATTGGAAATGGTGAGGAGGTGATGTGAAGCTTTAGTTGCTAGCAGAGGAAGTGTCTGGAACAGGAGCTATCTGATAAAACTGCTGGAAGTTAGTACTTCTGCATAAGCATAACTACCTAAAAATACCAAAACTACCAAAAAGAATTAAAAATAAGTCTTGGGCACTAGTGTTATTTAGTGTGGATTTCTAACATAGAAAGTGGAACAAGTAACTAAAACTCTTGCCTGGGTCATGAGAAACACCATAGTGAGGTAATTCTGTAAAAAAAAGTGCTAAATCAGAATTCAGGAAAAATAATGGCTAATCTGTAGGAAAGAAGTACTCTTTTATGCAAAAGTCCTTCACTTAATCTTTGACTGTGAGGTTGCTTGTTCATTCTTTTGGCGTGCCTGGTACTGACTCATAGGTCATGAGTCTACTCCTGTATTGGTCTTTCAGTGTTTTAAAATAAATACAGGTGTGTATGCTCTTGAATTGGGTTGGAAAAATTTAAAAACTTTAATAATTACCTAATGTAAAAGTATAGATTCTGTTGTTCGAGTGGTTGAGTTTTGGGTGCTTTTTTGGTTGTTGTTACTGTTAGGTAGATTTAAGACAATGCAAAAATGTTGCCAGTCTTTGTTAGTCTTTAAAAGAAGACTTTAAAAGTCTTTACCCGTATACATTAACATCATATTCCTGAAATTATTGGTGTGGTTTTATTCAAGTGATCTCCTTTGCCTAATATGTAGAAGACCCTTCCAGGGAATGGGATTTTTTTTCAAGTGATAAGATTTATTCTGGTACAATGAGTTCTCAGGTACTGCTACGAACTGTACTGCATTTTTATTGTATGATGAAGCAGGAAGAACAGGAGTAGAGCATAAACAGAGTTCCTTTTGCAAATGAAATGCTTAGCACAGCCAGAAGTCAAGAGGCAGAGGTTGTTAGCTGTGCCTGGCTGCCACAGAAGTCCCTGTCAGAAAGCTCAGGGTACAATCTGATGCAGGCTAGAGCGCAGCAGCTGTTCAGTGCAGTGTTTGCCAAAACTGCAGCACA